TCAATGACCTCCATGGCGGTTGGACTTTAAGTGCGAGGAGCCACAACTGGCAAGTCAGTCGGGTTTTGCATTTATGTCTGAGCATAGAAATATCCACAAAATTACATATTGTCGTAAAAGGCAATTAAATTGCTACATTGTGGATTGTTCAGGAAACTCGGATACGGTCATTGTGACTAAGCCACGTACCACTACGGGTGGCAGATAGGCTGATGGTGATATTCAATATCACCCTGACAGCACACCTTGATGGTAGTACCCAAGTATGCGTGTTCGAAATACAGGCATTGTCGATTCAATGATTCTCAGGTAAGTTTATCTTGTTCCGCCACATTGATAGCGCCAAAGCATCATTGCGCCGCAGGGACGCTCAATGGTCATGAACAAAGCAGCATCAGTGTGGACCAACGGTCATTCCCGGCAGCGTCTCCTAGGCGATTTCTCGTCCAGCGCAAATATGTGGATGTGGAGAACTAACTATTCCAGCACTCGCTCGTACCACCTCACCATGTGGCGAGGAAAGCTCCCGTAACAGGACCTTCTCTCCCCAGGGCCACGCATCCCATTCCTGGAGACGCCTGCAAAACATGAGGTAAATATGCATGCTTTTCCAGGTTCAATATTCATTTTTTGTTTAATGTTGCTCTGTAGCGTCATCGAGACAAGGTATTCAAATAGCAGCCACCACCACCTCACCAGCAGGGCCGCACTTCTTTGAAGCTGGTGCCCCGGATAGCCCCCCCAACTTGATCGGAATCGTCAATTTCACGGGAGGAAAAAGTCCCACCAACAGACATACAAATACCAGCGCTGCCACGTCGAACATATTCCGGAGACTAGTTGCTTGACGACCCTGGCCAGATACTTCCCGCGTCTCTCATGCACTTGACAAGCCTGTTTGCAGGCCCAGTCACTTCCTGCTCCCGTTAGGTTTCCTCTCCGTCAACTGAGCTTGAATGATTTCCTTTACTGTGTATCAGAAGTGCGGAGTTTTTCGACGCTAACATAAGGCTCCACATGGAATCACCCTCGTGTGACCGGCCTGCTCCACCAATCAAGCAACTTCGAGGATCACGCTTGCGCTTACGCCTTCGTTCCTTCATTTGCTAGATTCTAAGCTCAAAACTATTATTGCAGACCATTCAGACATGTCTCGTACCGGTGCAAACCCAAGGACACATCAAAGACACTGCAAGGCATTGTCAAGCGTGATCATAGGATCTTGTTTGCAATAGTATTGGCAAGATCTATTCCTTAAGTGGCACATTTAGCAGGCGATCAGGTAAACACATCATTTACATGACGGCAGTCCTGCCACCTCTAGCTTTGCTCGTACGTGCCATGTGGCACTATGGGAGATTGGATAACAAATGTGGCTGTCGGGTTTGATAAGAACACCGAGGACATACCAGCACCACCTGATATATTCGAGCGTGGACCGATCAATCCGCGCCATAATGCCATGGACGCCCGAGCCAGTTGCTCGAAAATGGATAGTGGAATACAGCAATTATGATCTAGAACTGTGATGATATCAGCAACGAGCCTGACTTTGGCTCACACACGACTCAGGGGGTAACAACAGGGCGATACTGCTCAAGCGGATGCAGATACAATTCGATCATCAGCGTCCTATGCACCAGATCTTGGCAAGTTTTGGGTCTCGACTGGACCACTGCTGCTGATCCAGGAACGCTGATCGGACAAATTTGCGTACAGGAGGCCTAGGAGGGCTCCAATGGCTGTCCGTCGACTGCCACTGTGGCTGACTCTTCAACTAATCCAGAAGGTTGGCTTTGCAAGTGCCGCGGGGTGGAAGGACCAGGCAATGGGGAAAGTAAGTCACCAGATATGGCAATGGATGACGCAGACTTTTGCTGTCCGTGGCGCGGGGTAGAATCTTCCCTGACAGCCTGCTCAAATGCAGTTATTGAAGGTGTGGTACACTGGTACTCAGTCTCTGTGGCACTATTGTGCGTCTTGTTGGTGAAACGCTTGCGCCACGTTTGGAAGGTTACTCAACCCGACGTCTTTCAGTTGGGGTCTCAGGCAACGGGGTGTCATCGAGATCATCATCGAAGCGCGAGTACGGTGTTCAGAAGGCGTCACAGCCTACAGGAGAATTCATTTCTTGTAGCTGAGATTTGATGCGGCCGGCGACTATATCACATTCCTTGTCGAGGGCCTTTATGACAGATTTGAATGCAGGTAGGGACGCCATAGTTTTGACAAAGTGGTTTTTCTTGCACCCCTTGACGTGAGCAAGGGAATATTAGAAAGATATATCATGGAGATCTCCATGATCTGGCATATCCAGTGAAATACGGCACAAGTTACCGTACTAGCTTGATGACGGGTCGGGTACGAAACACATCAACCTTGGGAATACTGCCTTCTGCCGCTTCGCACATTCATTCCGAGGTCTCTTCGGCCGGTGCAACATTATAGGTGCCAATGAGCGACTTGTCATTAGGACCCCCCGTGTGCTGTTTCCCTGTAGGGCCGAGTGCTTTCCGCACAACATTCGAATTTCACGCCCCAACGGACAATAAACAATGATCCAAAAAAAAAACTTTCGAAGCCTTTGTAAAATCATTTTGACTGATGCCAAGGGCTTGCGACAACGGCTTTGTGACGCTTCGTTATTATTCAGTCTATGAACGATTATTAGATGCCAAAAGATAGTAATTGGAAAACAGTGCACGCTTCTGACGCGAGGTACGCGCAGACTCGGATGCCTGAAAGTGCACTTGGATGAGCGACGAGATACGCAGAGTCAGGCCCAATCTTGGTTTTTAAGTCGGAGAATCGCCTGTGCTTTCTCATATATTTCTTCGGAGCATAGTTTGTCTTTCAAGTGCTGCTGCCATCACGAAGGTGCACGGCAGAAGAACCAGACGCGGCGGTCCGCGAGCGTGACACTGACAGCTGACGCGGACGCGTGACACTGACATCTATCTCCACCCAGTCAACACACAGTTCCGACTTTGACCATGGCCAGCTGGCCTGAACCAACCATAACCTGCCAATAAGCCTACATTGTTCTTAGAAAATAGTTGCCACAGCCAAAGCGCCGTTGGTCAGTAGAGTTGTATAAAAAGCGTCTCCTACTATTTCTCGTCTTTCTCCTCACTCCATTTTCTTCCTTCCATACAAAATGCGCATTCCACTTATCGCGAGTCATCGATACCAAGACGTTGGTCGCCGAAAAGGTGGTGGTGGCGGCGGAAAAGGGGGCGGCAGTGGAAAGGGCGGCGGCAGCGGTAGCGGAGAAGGCGGCAGCAGCGGAAAGGGCGGCAGCACAGGGAGTGGGGGTACGTCTAATCTAACAGCTAAACCCGTGGTATATCTGATTAGACTTTTCAGGCAAACCATCGAAGGTACCAATCACGGGTGGCTCTGCCAGCGGCAAAAGCACTGCAACGGCGTACGGATATGGAGGTGGGAAACCTAAAACAATTCCCGCTGGGCAGTTATTTGGTGGACGCACTGCTGGAGGGGCTATACGACCACAGATATATGGTACAAGGTTCGTCAACAGATTTTTTTTATCGCGAATGAAAGTCACTGAGGTGTTATTCAGAGGGTATGGTAGCGGATATCCTGGATACTCTAGCTATGGCGTCGCAGGCCGAGGATTTCCGTTTTGGTACTGGCCGGTTGTTTGGGGAGGATCTTCAAATCAGTATTTCCACGATTCTGAAGTAACATTTTTACCTCCTCGCACCAGAAGTCGACTGATGTTCCCCTTTTAAAGTATGGCGATTCTTCCAATACCAGTAGGCTCGGCGGACCGATGGCACAGGCCGACTTTATTTCAAATAGCACCGGTTCTACTTTCCATCTACTTTCCGACAACAGCACGATTAGTTCCTTGATCAACTCTATCAACACCAATTGCTCGTCGCATTTGTCATCCTCGAGTTCGAAATCTTCATCGCCGTATAATTCATCCGTTCCAGGAGGCCCTCAGCCAGAAGAAGCTATACAATACTACCGCTCTTCCAGCATCGTGCTGACTTTGGACGGCTACAATAACTCTGCTACATTCAACAGTAATCCGAATGTCACTGACTCGCCGTTGCCTTCTGGGGTCGACACGACTCTTTTAAATTGCTTGAATTACACCATTGGACAGGCCGCACCGTTAATCGATGGTGCCAGCTCGCGGTACATCTCGCCACCATGCATTGGATTTGCGACCCTCGTTTGGTTCTTGTGGTTCCTGGGGTTCTATGTTTGATTCTTCTAGATCATTATATGCATCATGTTTCATCCCCTCGTTTTTTGGGATTTCTCCATCATGTTCAGATCCGGATCACGCCTTCTGATGATCCTGTTTGTTCCACATTGTTTATTGATGACTTATCTTTGTAAGTTAAATCGTGATGCATAGGCGCATCTCTAGTTTATCGTACGGTACTATAATCGTAGCCTACCACGTCAACTGTATCGATTGTTTTTTTTCAGAGGCAAAGACTAGGCTTTGCGTACTCGACGTGAAATGGGGGTAACATGTCGCTGGCAGGGGAAGAACTTTTGTCCAAATGCAGTACAAAGGTTTAGGATATCGGAACGTAATTGTTTCGTGGGAGTTGTTAATTTTCTTGTCACCGAGAACTTGGTCGATGGGAATTTTCGGCGAACGTGCGGCCTCGAGGCACGCCAGAACGGCGATGGAGAAGCGCCAAGGTTCTCGAGCGGGCCAGAGGCGCATCTCATGCCTCGGGCGTTAGATGCAAAGTTTCAGCATTCACGTTACAGTGATGAAATGACGTGATGGGCTGAGGAGACACGGTTCAAGCCAAGCATTCCCTCGTCCTCTATTGATAAAATTGCAGACAGAGGTGGCCCATGAGTGAGTCGGATCCGAGATTCTGAAAGTGAGAGGACGAACGAAGAACGGTATAGGAACCGAGTTCGGACCACAGAAACCCAAAAAGGAAGTGACAAGCTACCGACCGTTTTTGATACAAGGGAATGGATAAATCCAGGGATGCTTCTAGGACGAGGACCTTGAACACTCGAAGAACCGTGGTACATTCATTGAAAGGCGCTGACAGTAGCTCTCTGTTCTCAGCCCATTTCTTGATTATCCATCTAAAATAACAAGAGGCGGTGTTCTTGGTCCTGTACATATAATTAAATCTTTGCACCCACACTCTGGGCTCGCTTGACAAGAACCAATCTTCGGGCGGACTCCCTACCTGAAAAGCTATAAGGAACGCCCAACACAATAGCGCTTTTTGTTCCCCCCTCCGTCTCTCTTTTGTATCCTGCTTTAGGGAGCTTCCCAACTACTACCGTGCTACTGTATCCATATCACTATAGACATGCCAGCCGTCCGTCTTTCACACCGTCGACGCTCATCCTTGGCCATTAGTACGTTTCTTGATCGCTTTCGGTTTGGTTCAATGCTCATGATAACGATGAATAGCGGCTCTCCACCCAATAAAGGCAGGCATCTATGGTATCAACACGACTCCTTCGCCACGATCAGTTACATTTGCACCCAATGTCACTCCAGTCACGTTTAACGAGACTGACGAGTCCTTGTCCTCACCAACACCAGAATCTTCGTCGCCCACGACGCAGCTCTTCCCTCCTTCAGAGCTTCCCCCAACGACCACCAGGAGACGTGTACCTCCTGGCAAGCGCCGGTCGCTAGGTTACATACCACGTCCCCCGAACGCGTTTATGTTGTTCCGTGCGGACTTTGTCCGTCAGAAGCACGTTCCAGGGTCCATCGAGACTAATCATGGTTCGCTTTCCAAGATCATCGGTAGGTTTTAATTACCCAGATAGTCTCGTGTGATTCTCATGCTGTACCTAGGCAATTGCTGGAGAGCGCTTCCTCTCGAGGAGAAGCGCGTATGGGAGATCAAGGCTAAACATGCCAAAGCTGAACACAAGGCGCGGTATCCTGAGTACCGTTTCCGCCCAGTCCACAACAAGAATAAGGAAAAGAAAAAAGAAAAGGCTACACCCACCGCTGAAGACGAACGCCGCTGCGAAGAGGTTGCTCAACTCCTCCTTGACGGAATGAAGGGTGACCAGCTCGCCGCTGCCATCCGCAAGCTCGACGAAAACAAGGTACATGCCCCTACGCCTGCCTATCTTCTGAGGCGACCCTCTTCCGTGCCCCTTCCGGATTCGCGGTTTGGTGCTGCAGGCATTACCATCCCAACGCTACCTTTCTTCGCAGGCTCACGTCCTGGGTCTCCTGTTGGAAAAATCTCTCACTCTGCTCGCTATATCCTTGGTCAGCGCAGAGCTTCGAGTGCCCAACCGACTATTCCCCGTCATTGGGGCGTCGCCCCACCTGCCTCTTGGCAGCGCGATGAGTCTCCCCTTCCGGAGGCAAACACGAGCTTGTTTGAGCCATCATTCTTCAACTCGAACTTTTCCAGCCAAACCATGCAGTCAGACTGTGCATTCGTACGTATTGCCTTTTATTATCTTCCAGATCGACGCTGACATGACAATTCAGAGCTTCAATGAGATGATCTCCACGTTCCCTCCTCATGCTCCTCAGGACTTCGGTATTGCTCCCTTGGACCCACTTCATGATCTGTCATTAGACATCAATGCCTTGAATTTCAACCCGAATGACCCCTCCGCCTGGATGTCGGCAGAGTACAGCAACTCTCAGACTTCATCCCCATACTCTGGCTCCCCTGCACATTCTGACATGTCGCTGCCCGTTGCTGCACCCCAGCCACAGCATGCAGTCGCCCAGTTCGATCACTGGCCAGACATGTCACAGCAGTACACTATTCCTGTCAAGGGTCTGGACTGCTTGCAGGGGTCCGGTGAGCAGCAGATCATGGAGCCACATTTCTCCGGCTATTCAGCTGGCATCGAGGGTTTGTTCCCATCGCTCGGCGTCGTTGATACCCATGGACCTCCCATGATGGGTTTCGACTATAACTCGTACTGCTTGTCTTAGCTCGGCGCGTATCTCTATCCCCGTCTCCACCTACACGATCTATCATTGTATGTATAGCTATTTCTTTTATTAGCCTCGGAGTTTCCCCCTCCTTCCTTCCCTGTTTCTATATATATCCTTGGTTTGCACGGTATCGTTGACTTGTAGCTTTATCACTTGCTGTGTCAGATTGGATTGCGCATCCACCCTTGTATCCATATCGTCTCTATTGTCTTGTATGCTTGTAAACGAGCAATATTATGATACCCTGTTCCGCCTCGTTCTGGGGCGGAAAACGTCAAAACGTGATCTGGACTGAGCCGACTAGCAAGTTTTATCTATGGCGCCGGTCTATATCAGTCTTGCTGTGCCGCAGGGATGGTACCTTTGCATGTTATTTCAGTGGTTCTTCGGAGCATGACGATTAGCTACACGTGGTGAGGAAGGCTGGGCGGTGCTTAACTTAACGTTTCAGCGATCTGGGAGATTTTCAACACAGGTTTTTGATAGGTAGCGCGTGATCGTCTCGCAAAGATATGTGCGGGCGCCACGCATCATCTACTAGGCGCAGTCTAGCCAAGGCAATGCGAACACGACCACTAGTCGATATCCGTGCATGACGCACATACATACGTCAGTACATTCCTTGGGATCACTGTTTTTCCTCGGGAGGGAATACCGATGGGCGTATAAATAGACAAGCTAATAAACACACATCGGTGATTTACTACGAGGGGGAAGACTAGTCCGACGGCAAGAAGGATACAGGATGACATCGTTCATGATCATGGCTACCAATGAATTGCGAAAGTGTCCATGAGAGTCTAATGTCTATAAGGAAGGAAGGACATCATGATCATCATAATCTGCTTCTCTGCTTCTCGAAGATTCCATCGAACGAGGGTAAGCTGGGAGCTCTTCGCTTGGCTCTCGGGAACGATCACTTGCAACTATGTGTTCAGCCCGGTTATCTCCACTATCATGGCGATAACCATCTGGGGAATGGGCACATGACGGATATAGCTTTTCTAGCTCGTAGAACCGTCGGCGCCTTGCAACAGTGGACGGAGAGGTGCTACTATCGTTGAATAACTGAAATGGTATGGGATCGACACGGGACGGGGTAGACGGAGATCCATCCCTAGAATTCTGTGTGGTACAAGAATCGAGATATTCAGGTTGGATAATGAATGTCTCTCTACCGCTCAGAGGACTCGGAACGGCGATGTTGCGCTGTGCAGTTGAGGAAAGATTGAAAGGGGTCACGGATGATCTTTGTCCTGTGCGACGTGATCGCACTACGATACAAGTTAGTAGGAGAGCTAGAAGCGCGACTCCTACGACAGTTCCTCCAATGATGGCGGCCATGGTTATTGAGGATGCAGGCTGGATGTCAACAAAGATTGGTTCAACCGACGGACTCGGGAACACGTCAATACTGGTCAATGTGATAACTGAGGTGCTCATCGCGGGTGTAAGCGAGTAGGATGTTGGCGCGAGCGTCTGCCATGACAATGAGATATTTGGCGTGAAAGTTTGAGGTTCTGCTGAGAGGCAATCTCCTCCATCCATGCTGGGATTGTGTAGTCGATGTAACACACGAAGACCATCCTTTGGCCGACCTTTTTGTGCTAGAGTTCAAACAACTATTGCATCATGAAGGCTAAGAGACGGCCAAACGTTTCAGAACTTTGGGCAGTGCCAAAGTAATCTTGGGTCGATCATGAGCTCCGGTGGTTGGTGTTTAATGTACAGTGCAAGCGAAAGACAATAGGTGTCTAAGCAGACAAGGATTTTGAAAGTCCAGTCGAGAGTCGAGACTGGCGAAAACAAAAGCAGGAATTTCCTGATATGGTAACTACGTTTGACCCGACGGAAGGTAGCGAAAGTTATAAGTACTAAGGCGAATCTGTTGATTTATATCATTGATCTAGGATCTGCATATGTAGTGAAGCGCAGAGATCTGGCTACTCTTGAAGGTTAATATCAATATTCTCCGTAGATCTCGCTGACTTCTACGACAAATCTAGAGCCAGTCCGAGTTGGCAGCTGGCTTGAGCGGAGTTTTTTTTGGGGATGTTGTGCATCGACGCTATGTCCATGATCACGTTTGTGATCAGACCATGTGCACGAAGCGCTCATCACCATCCCGTCTCCCACTGCGAATATTTGAACACCTGGCAGCCGCAATCCTCCGGCCCATCACCGGGCCCGCTGAACTTGGTCGAAACGGTCGCTAGCTTGCTGTCTTTCGCAGACTAGTGCTCTCCGGGCAGGCGGGTGTGGCCGTCTCATGTATAAGTACTCCGCCTGTTGCGGTGACGCATTTTCCGATATCTTTGTCATAGGGGTCTCACGTTTGCACTAGTGCTTCTCGCACTTGAAACAGGTTCGCGGTTTCCATACTGATTGATCCAAGCGTGTTAGAGGACTTTACTCTAAATACTACTGCTTAATCTCCTTCGATAGTAGCCCCCTTCTAGGAAAGTCGAGACCTGCCATTTTGTGGACGCACTAGCCTGAGGCTCCAAAATTCAGGTCTCGATGAACCGGCTCCCCAACTTCCCTGCGCTTTAAGTTAAATCAAGTAAGTGCAGCCTTCTCACGCAACGGCCTCATTGGCCAAACGACATAGCTCAAAGGCAATGCCAATTGCGTGGCAACACAGACAACGGTTTCGGGGTAAGTGCGCATCACTAGTTAAACCTCCACAAAAATACACAGTACTTTACATCATTCATGGTCCTGGTTATCAAGGGATTATCTATCGGAGGGAAGTTCAAGAGCTGGAAAGGACATGAGGATCATCAAGGTCTGCTCTTCTACTCCTCAAAGAATCCACCGAACGAGGATAAGCCGGCGGCTCTTCACTCGGTCGTTGCGAATAACCATCCGTAACAATGTGTTCAACCCCTGCATCGTGATGATCCGAGGTGGGGATATGAGACTGATACGGGTACAGCTTCTCTAGCCCATGGGACCTGTAGAGCCTAGCAACACTAGACGCAAAGATCTCCTCATCGGCCAAGTGAGATGATATGTGATCTGTAGCACATGATGATGATCTATTCCCAGAATCGGAATATTGAATGAACGATGAGCCTCCGCTGTTCGGACGGACAGCACCGCTGGCACTCTGGAACTTGAGCCACGCCCGTGACTTAACCTGCGTTGGCCCTACAGTTGAGAGGAGGTTGAAAGGTGTTATAGAAAGTTGTTTTATCCTGCGACGGCGCAGCAAGATAAAAATTAGGAGGGATAGAAGTACTACCACTCCCACAGTGCCTCCTATGATGGCGCCTATGGTCAGAGATAATTGAGTGTTTGAAGTGGTTTGAGGCACTGATGATGGTTGGGGCAACGAGCTCGAGACCATCTCAATTCTTGTCGATGTAACTGTGGATGAGAGAGGCCGAAGCAATGTGATGGTGGCTCCGGTTGTTTGGTAAGTTGAGGCGACTGTGGTGTAGTAAGTAATACTGACAGCGGTATTGTCACCACTAGAAGGGTCCCCACTCGGCGACGATAATGTGGGGGTGCCAGTGTATGGATTTGTCGACTGGGATGGGCTGTAAATACTAGAAGAGCCTGAGGGTGTATGGGAAATTGCTGAACCGCTAGAGGTATTATCTACTGAGGTGCCATATGACTTTGACGACTGGTGGGTACTGTAGGCTGATGATGTAGAAGTAGTTATAGCGGGAATCGATTGGGGATGTGTGGAAGAAATGGTAGTGAGGGGAGATAAAACACCAGTACTAGAATATTCGGGAACGTCTAGCTCACAGAAAGAATCGAATATAATGCAAGACTGGGTGTACGAGGTGTCCGCCTGGCGTTGGGAAATGTGAGCCTCCGCTGAAAGTCGCGGTGCTCCAACTGCCAAGTTCCCAGCTTCACTTGGTTCCGACATTCTGCGTTCAACAAATGATGCGGCTGTGATTGGGCTAGCCTGCTCATTTGACAAATGATCGCTGTCGGACAAAGTGCAGCCTACGCAGTTCATCTTGGGCTTGTCTGACAGCTGTAGACCACCTTAGTCGACTATCAGAAAGAAAGAAAAATATGAAGAAAATTGATGCCTACGCCCGTCCACATTGGTATCTCGTGTCCGGTCCAACGAGACAGGACCATCCTAGGGTATAGTTTTCAACGAAGGGTGCTGAGGCTCATCGCCGGTTAACGAACGTGGATGGTATATATGATTGCGAAATAAAACATTGAAGCGAGTGTGAAGGGGAGTCATTTCAGCCAAGAGACCCAGTGGGGATTGGGAGAATCATAACAATGAGATCGACCTTTTTTGTACCATATGAGTGAGTTTCACACCCTGAATGACGACCAGACGTTTCAGCAGTGCCAAAGTGATCGTAAATCGATCGTGAGACATGGTAATTGATAGTAACTCCGTGGCCGTGATCGACAACCGCTGAAGCACTAAGTATTGGTCCTTTGATTCGAGGATTGTAGTTCAGCGTGTCTACAACCGATGAAAGTTCGGTACTTACTAGTTAGTCATTTGGCCATGGTTCTAGTACAACAGCCATCATGATGTGCCTGACAGAGAAATCGTGAATGATGCGACTAAACACTGCATGCCGCAACGTTGACAGATGATCAGATGGTGGTCTAAGGTTCCGAACGTCATAATTATACCACTATTACGACGTTCTCAAGTGAGTCGCACGTGTACACGTTCAAGTTGTCCTATAACAGTAAAATTTAGCGATCATCGTGTATCCATGTGGCGGAGACATCACCCAGGACTAGCTACCGCTAATCACCCGTGGTACGATGGTCGTTTACTTTCCGATCGAATTCTAGTCGAAAGGGTGAGATATGCAGGTAAATAATAAAGAATGCGTTGTAGTCACATTGTTTTGCTACCTCAGGCTATTGCAGCACGAAAACAACTGCAAAAAGTTAAATCAGTGATATTGAAACCGACCTGTTTTCACTGGCACGTACTGTGAACGTAAAGGCTAGGACCCACACTTACCCATTGATTTCTCTCTTTGGAGCATCTACCTACGTGTCACAGCTGACTGGCAGAAAGAAGTTAGGAAAGTTTTGAATACTAGGCTGGCTGGTTATGGAGAGCAAGAACACAAACGAGGTCGAGGAAAATGAAGATCATGCTTCTGAATCTGATGGCCCTCGATGAGTTTCATAAAAGACAAATATAATCATGTGTCTGATACGGTTTGCAAATTTGAACGTTCAAACGTTCATGCGTTGAACGTTAACGTTCAACGGGTTACTTACTCAACGCGGACAATACCGTGACAGCATAGATCGCAGTTGCTTATTCAAGGTTATGTTTCCTGCGTTTGAGGCACTATCATCATGCCGTCAAGTGTTTCCAGACCCGAGCTCATTGACAGCTAGGTCCACGCGTACTCCTAAAAGCGCCAATGGAGGCGCCTATAATGCATGAGGAAGACCCGACGGTGAGGCAGCGGACGTAATATGTTCGCTATGTATTGGCGGCCTCGTCAACAATACGCCCATTACATGCCACACGTATGTACAGATGTCCGAGAAGCGGAGGGAGTAGCGCGTTAAGCGTTAAAAGTACACCGTATCGCGCATGGTCTTGGCGATCGGTGATCATGGGAGGAGAGGGGAAGGACTGGATGGGACATCATAATCATCATGACCTATCTTCTCGTTCTTCCAAGACTTCGTTTTCCCATTCTTCAAAGATTTCGTTGACCAATATGCCGGCAACACTTCGCTTGATTCTCGCGAACAATCCTCCATAACAACTTGCTGGACCCAGTTTTCTACACTGGAATGACAATAATGATCGGAGGTGCAGGCGCGAGATGAAGATAGGTCCAGTCTTTCCAGCCCGTTGGATTGTTGATGCAGGACAATGACGGATGGAAACTCGTTATCGCTGTCGGGCAAGTGATTTGATACGGAATCTATGAGAAAGGACGAGTGTTTGTTGCCGGGATACTCCATGCGGTATGGGTCTGAATAAACGGACGATAGACTTCTGTTATCTGGACGAACGGCATCGCCTATGCTCTGGGCCCTGAGCGAGACCGATGACACGGTCTGCGCTACTGCTGCAGTTGAGGGCAGGATGAAAGGTGTCACAGAAGGTTGCCTTCTCCTGCGATAGCATATCGCAATAAAAATTAGAAGAGCTAGAAGCGCGACCGCTCCAATAGCCCCTCCTACGATGGCAGCTGTGTGCGGAGGTGATTGAGGGTCTGAATTGGTGTCAGACACTGATGTTGATTGGGCTGATGCGCTCGAAGCCACAACAGTGCTGCTCAATGAAGCTGTGCCAGATGCCAGGGCAGGCTGAAGCGATATCGTTGTTATTGCTGTTGTTGTTGCGGATGTATCAGGGTTCGGGGAGACTGTAGCTTCATTGAGAGTCGAGGATGCGGGGTATATAGTGTCCGAGCTTAGCGTAGAAGGGGACTGCTGACCAGATGTCTGAAGAGTGGTTGTGGACAGGGAACAAAGGGCCCCATCGCATTGATAAACACTGTTGGCAGATGGCGTAGTAGAGTGAGAAGATGTAAGGGTAGAAGATGCGAGTGTAGGAGATGCGAGTGTAGGAGATGTAAGAATAGAAGATGCAAGGGTAGATAGTGGTAGAACGGTGACTGCCTGGTAAACAGTCATGGCTGGCTCCTTACTGACGCTTGTGGAAGAGGTCGCACTCCGTCGTATAATGTAACCTTCCTTGACGACGTGTCGTGGCGATCCAACCGAAAGATCACCAGCTTCAAAAGATGGCATCGTTGAAGTAGCGTGCTCATCGGAGAGATGTTCACAGCCAGACGGAGTGCAGTCCACTGGTTCGATCTCGGGCTCTTCAGAAGGCTTAAGACCTTGGTTGACTAATGGAAAACAGATACTCAAGAAGAAATTCCAAGAAGAAATTTGGGACTTACGCCCATCCACGCTGGTATCCCGTGTTTGATCTAACGAGTCGAGACCATCCTCCTGTACAGGAATTACAGTCTCTATAGAGGAGTGCTGAGGCTCAGCACGGTTGAACGAACGGTGTGATAAACGATTGTGAGATAAAAGTTTAAAGCAAGTGTGAGGGGGAGTCATTCTTCTCCCTTTGGCCAAGAAATCCAGTGGGGGTTAGAAGACCATATCGACGAGACCGACCCTTTTGTACCAGAGTAAGATCAGACAGCTTTCGCACCGTGAATGTAACCACGGCGACTACCACACGTTCCGGCAGCGCCAACATGATTGTGAGTCGGCCATTATTGCTGGTGATCCTGACGACCGTAACGTAGTACGCCCAGATACGCACCATGGTCAAGTAAGGTAGTTCAGCATCAATGAGGAAAGGAGGAACGGACTCGATCATCCGGCCACACGCGGGTTCTAGTCCGACAGCCATCATGAAATTGATGTGTTTGAGCAGAAATCATGAATGATGGGACGACACATGGCTATGTGATAAATCAGTAAACTAAGTTCTCGTATGTTCATTGTACTTACCTGTCTATTTCCTGCCCATGTCGAAAGTTGACGCCTAAGTTCCAGCCGTTTGGACTCTGTAGAACACTAGGCAAGTCCTAAAAAGAGAACACAGGCAAGAAGTTTGACCAGGTCCCAGGAACTTTCAACTTCCGAACTATCAATCGATCGCGTTCCCGCATAGGACGTTACGGGACGTTACATACCCAGTCAAACAAAACTGTATTTTTGACGATTGGCGGCAGCCTATAGTGTTTCTTCAAAGCGCGGCGGCATGATGGTTGAATCAGAGTTCTGAATCAAACTCCGCTATAGGGGTTTGTTCCTCGAGTTCGCTATAGATCAAGTACTTCACAATATTGTAGACACCAAACCTGAAGACACCTTTGTGGTTGTTTCACTTGGAACGTTAGCCATGTGCATATACAAGTACAAAAACGAATTGTCGAAGCCAGTATGCCCAATCTTCCATGTATAAGTATTCTATATCAATCAATTTGACTGCGGACGAAAAACACTCGCTACATCCTCTCCAGAGGCCTGACACTCAAAAGCCGCATCGCAGCACCCAACACATCCCTCGCGCAAAGGTAGAGCCACAGTCTCGCGCGAGCTTTAGCTGCATCTTCTTCCCCTTTGACAATGAGCGTCTCCCAGGCACTTGAAATCGCATGAGCCAGGCGGAATGCGAAAGTCACTACACCACTCGGTTCGTGCGTCTTCAATGCAGTCTTCACGACATCGGGGTAAGAGCCCAAAAGGATCGCGATGTCGCGTGCATGTTGGGAGGAAGTAAGAGAAGAAGTGTCGATCTGGGATGGAGGCGGCAGGGGGATGAGCTCTGGATTTTTCCGCTCCATAGAGGTGAGTCGGACATGTGCGTATTGCAAATATGGTCCGGTATCGCCTTCGAAGGAAAGCATGCGATCCCAGTTGAAGGTGTAGTTATTGATCCTGGTGTTGGATGAGCTGCAGTAGCCGAATGAAATAATGACACTCACCGCTTCGCAGCCATGTCCTGGATCTTGATTCCCGTGATTCCCACTTCTCGAGCGACCATCTCAGGGTCTTCAATGTTGCTGTACTTTACCTCGTTCCGCTTCATCTGCTCGTGCATGACAGACGAAGCTTCGCGGATGATCTGATCCAAGAAGACTGCGGTTCCCTTGCGAGTGCTCATGCCGAGCACTAAGCCGTAGTTGACATGTTCAAGGCGGTCTGCCCAGGGGAATTCCATCAACGATAGCATCTTGAAGAACTGCGACAGGTGCAGGTCTTGCTGCGACGCGACGACGTATATCATTTTGTCGAACTTGTATTTTTCCCACCGTTCTATCGCGCCGCCGAGGTCGCGAGTGAGATATATCGAGGTACCATCTACGTATGGAGATCAGTAATACGTATGAAGTGATTGGTTTGAGACTTACTAGCTTTGCGGAGTACAGCCTTCCCGAGTTTCCATTTTTCAAGATCGACGAGTTTGGCACCCTCGACATCACTGATGAGACCCATCTCTTGAAGGCGCCCGAGAGCCCGATCCTGCCACTCCTTACCAACCTCGCTCTCCCCCGTGTAGACTTTAAACGACACGTTAAGTCGTTCATATTCCTCGATATACTTCTTGACGCTCATTTCCCGCCACACTCGCCAGTTCGCAAGCGCCGATTCGTCGCCGTCCTCCATCCGCTTAAACCACTTGGCGGCCTCGACTTTGACGTTTGGATCCGAGTCGGCATCCTTGGATACTTTGACGTAGACATCGTAGAGATGTTTGATGGCGTCGTTTTCGAGGTCCTCTTGTGAGCCGTACTTTTCGAATCCAGTGGCGATCATGCCGAACTGACGAACCAAAATCAATATTCAGAAAGGAGAAAAGAGAATTACTCACTTGAGTGCCCCAATCGCCTAGATAATTTAGAGATACTACCTCCCATCCGCATGCCTTATATAAATTGTCGAGAAACGCGCCTATGATAGTGCTTCGAAGATGTCCGACGTGAAAGGACTTAGCGATGTTGGGCGAGGAATACTCGATGACGAGTTTTTTTCCCGCGCCAGAGGTGTTGGTACCGTACGACGGCTTCCCTGTGGGGCTGTCGTATGTGAGGGTGTGTATTTGGTTGAGGACTTCACGGATGAGGGAGGCGGTGTTGAGTTGGAAATGTAGGAATTGCTTGTCGTGGGTGATTGACGAGACGAAGTCGTCAGGTTGGAACTAGTAGCAAAAAGCATTAGAACTGACGGGGAGGAGTAAAAGAAGGAACCAACTCACATCTGATATAACAGTTTGAGCCAATTGGTCAGGCCTTCCCGGCAAGCGGAATCGCGGAAGGGCGACTGTGAAATCGACGCCCTTCTTTCCATAATCGACGCCGGCGTAGGCTTGGTCGATGGTAAGGGGCGGGAGCGCGTCCGATACACGTTTTGCAATAGCAGTGCGGAACGCGTCTAGAATGCAGGACGATGGGTCCGTGCCTAGAACAGAAGGTAAAGATGGGAGCGATGAAACCATGGTTCCAAGAGCTCTCACGTAGGAGAGCTTCCTGGGGAGGATAGGGATAAATCTGATTATCAAAAACGCCACCTTAAGTTTTGTGACTCGTGCTTGAAAGTTTCGAAAGAATCGATTGGATGACTCGTGAGAAAATCACGTGGTTCAGCCGCACCTGAAATCAGCCTTGTATCGCTGGTTGTTTTCACTTCTTCACTCTCCAACACGCGCGCCCTCACTGTCTGGACCGCTGCTCATACGAACGGTTTTACACCAGAATGTCTCGCCAATGATTATGTTGACCGGATGGCCTCGTTTGCGCAGAACCAACGTGGGGTTATTCCCTCGGGACCGCTGACCACTTTCTTGATGGATGATTACACTATGTTTGCATCCGGTCATGGTTTTGTTGAACATAACTTGTCCTCTTTCATCATTTCTAGGCTCGAGGATTCTTATGAGTTGAGCGACTCTTTTCGTCCAGCGCGAGCCCTGACTCTTGCACTGTAGGACAGTCATCACCTGCCGGACTTCCCCTACACTCGGGCATCTAGCTCTTTCTCTGCCGTCGCACAATTGTATACCCGGTCATCACAACTTGATACCGCAGAGGTGCGGCATCGGCGTTTCCGTGATACGCCGCCCTGGTGTCATTTCGGCTGTGACGCCTTTGAGAGCGTTCGCTATATTTTTACTCGCTGCCCGGCCTTCTCGGCTATCCGTCGTGCGCATAGCATACAGCTGTGTGATGAAACCTCCTCGCTGCTTGAGGGCAAGGCTGCCGATCATCTGCGAGAGGTCTTGGAACGAGCAGCTCAACGCCTGTTTTCCGACGACGCGGGGCTTTGGCCACAATATCGGACGCGTTTTTACGTGGGTGTACTGCCCCCACTTGCGCGTATTGTAAGCAACATGACTGAGACAGAAGTGGGTGTATTACCCCCACAGTCTCATGGTATGGGCAACTTTGCGTCTGGTAATGCGGGTGTCTTACCCCCACAGCTGGATAGTACGACGATGGAACCTAAGGTGTTGTCACGATTAGCGCAGGTATGGCACATGCATAGTATTCGGCTTGCAGGACGTATTTGGGGAGAGTACAAACGACGTGCAAGGTCTCTGAGTGCCGTTCCTTCTGACATAGTGACATATAAGTCTTTGGACACTTATGCGTACCTCCTACCGGACGTTTGACTGGATTCGGAGCGTTTTTGTTTCATTGGTAGTTGAGATCTCAAGCCTTGAACAAACAGTACTGCCGATACACTGGTTAGTACACTGCATCGTTGGGCCATAATAAAAAAGTTCCGTATAAAATCCTCATCACGCTCGCCAAATATATACGAACGTGGGTCCAACTTGGATCCAACACCAAGTTCAAAGCTCAAGCACAAGCACGTACTCCTTGCACCAGACTCATCTAGAACCTCGGCGAGTCGGGGAAGAATCATATTATGATCATCTATCTAAATCCAGTCCACCAAGGCCTAGTCAGAACGCGTCAAACGATTGTCTGTGCATGGTGCCAAGTTTTAAGAACTGTTACAATGTTTAGCTTGGCACGTTGGAGGGCTCGAGTCTAGCAGTAAGTATACGACGGTAATAGAACACAGTATGACGTAGGTTACATTGTTATGATTGGCCATAAATCCAGCTGTATAGTAAAGCGAACACTGTCTGCGATCGTGTCAGCACTCAGACAGTACCCACGCGCAAAATCACTCACGAAAGAAACAATCGGGTACTACCACTTCTCCATTTACCATGATTCATCCACCAAATGTCCATGGAGCTTTTCCCGAAGTTTGGACATTTCTGCCTCATCGATCTTATAAAATTGTACCACCTCTTCGATCTTGTTCAAGATATCACTATCCCGGCGTTCCAAGACTTTCAATTGCCGAATATGATCCTGAATTCGAATAACAACTTCTCCGCACATTGGAGAGGCGAGGTAGAATTCGACTGCGAGTTTGATGGCCCTACGAGTGAGTTCTTGGCTTTCTGACACGATAAAAAGTGTCCGCAACACAAGCGCTAGGTGGGCGATGTAGGCCATGAAGCGCTGAAGCACCACGTCGCTGACAAAGCAGTGTCAATAGCCTTCCGCACATGAAAAAATAGTAGTGCGCACGATGTTTGGTATACATCATAAACCCATGCACCAAATACGACACCTGCTACGATTGGTACCACGATGGGAGCCGCAGGTCCCGCCAGGACGCTTGCGACAGTGCCAACCATGGAGAATCTAGTAGTGCTGTAAACATTCAGTGAGATAAAGATTCATCTGTGACGTAAAAAACCAGCCTACACGGTTTTGTCGGGATCAGCTATCGGTCCAACTTGTGTCCCATCGACCATGTCTAATATCAATTTCCTGAACTCTTGACTGCGCAAGTACTACGTATAAATCACGTTAGGGAGGATGCGACGACGACAAATAAGATACCCATCACCTTGTGAGGGTCACGGAAGTTCCATACTTCGACTATGTCAGTGTGAAGCACATCCAGACAATCCCACATCTGGCAGTTCTTGAATGATGGGCCTGATCGAAGCGCCTTCCAATATCCTGCAAGACATAAGAATTTAGATCGTACTCACTAATCATCAACGCGAAACTGAAACAAACTTGTCTTGCCGACCCTGATGCTGCGTAAATCGCCAGATAGGAATAAAGCAAGCAAGACTCACTTAATCAACGTCTCTACTTTGAGTCCAGAATGCACCCGCTGAGCAATGGAGGTCATCACTGCAGCCTCAGGCGTAGAATGCTTGCTGACGTGCTTTTCAGTTAGTTGGATTAGGCTGGCGAGCGTCTCCTTGTAGCCAGCTTCGGCTGCAATATTGACTTCAGAGGCACGTATGAATCTGTCAGGGTATTGGTACGCACTAGATATCGTAGCATGGGGAATATCAGACCCTGCAGATCGCTCTAGAGGTCCAATGCAGTTGTCGTGAATCTCCATATCAGCGTTATCCTTGACGAGTTTCTTGAAGGCTTCGTCGCTCAATCCATCAGTAGAGTCATCTAGATTTAGCTCTATGTCATCAACGAGCTTATCGTATTTAGTAAGAACCACGATAACGGGAACTTTGACAAAGTGTGAGCTCCGACGTGGCAAAGGTATATTCATCGATTCACTCACTGTCTCCCAGGATTCCATCACGTTTCCATGTCAAGAATTTCTCGGCCCCCGTCTCTAGGAAACGTCCGCCGGCAAAAGGGATCTGAAAACAAAGCCTTGCGTGTATTTTGTCAGTCCACCATAACGGAATGATCGAGATAGAATCCCTACCAAACAGCGTGCAGCTTATCTTTCAAATCAGGCATTGCACTCCGACGGTTAATAAAATCTCGGACAAGATTGAGGTTGTCTTCTTCGCCTGGTTCGAAGCCTTTGCTATCGTGGAGGACAAACTTGTCGTTGTGCGATGAGATAAACTCTCTGTCGATGTCGGCCTCGCCTGGCTGATTGTGGGCGACGGTCTATTGACAATATGAGTACCTGTGCTCGTTGAATGGTTACATTCAACCCACCGTGTTTGTGCCTACTCCAAAAACGTGGTCAATCAGTGATGACTTTCCAACGCCGACCTATTAAAGTCACGTCGTCAACACTGGCCTGAGATCGGATAAACCAGATACCTTTCCTATCACCAGAATTCGAAATCTTGGGAGCGTCATCCTCAAGAACGGCACGTTATGATCATCCTGACTCACCGAGGACAGCGCTCAATCATTCCGGAAGTGGTAGGGAGGAGCTTAATCTACGAGTTAGATGGTTTCGATGCCAGACGTGGATCCTTACTTCGGTTGAAGTATTCTCGGAAAAGTCCACGGCGATCTTGATGTTTCCGTGCCACATTATGTATGCTACAGATGCGAGGTTGGGTTCGTGAGTGATTGAGGCGAGAGTGCGATTATTGTCTCACTTTGTCCTTCGCTTGCGCTATATGCGAGGAACGTGTCACCTAGGTCGATATGAATGTCTTCATGCTTCAATTTGGTTTTAAAATGTTCCTTGTACCATATGCGTAAGAGAAACGCATCCGGATAAGAAAGCAATCTGAGGGAAAAAGACACAGAAGCAACTCAAGTGAGTCGGACATGTGTTAGGGTCGAGTACTTGAAAGTTACATGGTCTCCGGAAATGTCACTCGCCAACTCCTTCCTGCTTGGGGTCTAATCGGCCAACGGAAATCATTGCCAATCAATACTTCAGCAAACTCTACATCCTTTCCCGACTTGCTGAAATCGACAGTGACACCTATTAGATATATTCAGCGGAGCTACATGATAACAAGAATTGAGTGACCAGAGATGGGGCACGAAACGGTTGTAGCATTAGCCATGCTGGTTTGATCTAGGGAAGAGTTCTGCTCTGAGCACGTCGTTGATTATAAGATAGAAAACCTTGCGATAAGCGATTTTTTTTTTTTTTTTTTTTTGGGTCAGTGTTTATTGTCCGTTGGGGCATAGCCCTATGGTAGACAAAACATGCGAGTATTTACTGTAGCGTACTATTTGTTTATGTGTGTCCGGTGGTGTACAATCATTGGTCCAGGTGGAATACGAGGACAGTTAAGGCCAGCTAAAGGCGATAGTGGGAGTGCAAGCTCGTTCATTCTTCTTTGTCATCTTCGTCTGCGGGTGGTGTGACGTCACCAAAGGTCTGTTCCATTCTGTGCGTACTTGCTATGAAGCGCAGTAGAGGTTTGATACACTTTGAATTGTTCAGCAGGTTCTTGAGGTGATTGGTCTGCGGGCCGAGTTCGAATTGGAGTGCAAGGCGTTGTGTTATGTACTTTGGGCAGGTGATTATAAAATGGTGGACCGTTTCCTCGCGTTCGCCGCATTGCTGACATTTGGGGCTGGGTACTTTTGCGATACGATGTAGGTGCTTGTTTAGCGGGGCGTGTCCTGAACGAAGTTGGAAAAGGAGTGAAGAGTGTCGGCGCGGGAGTTTTTCTATCAGCTTTGAGAAGTGTTTCGAGGGAGCCGTTGCGTCGATTTCATGAAGGCGTTTGTATCGCGGTGAGTTTTTCATGATGTTTGATGATTCTTCTTTGATTATTCGTCCGAACTGCTGCTTTAGCGCCGACTTGCTGATGGGGAGGATGATTGCCGCATTTGTTCTTGCGGTGAGGAGGGATTTGGGGAGTTCGTTAGGTGCGCTACTGTTTCCTCTGGCTGCCATCTTCGCTTGCTCAACGCGATAAGCGATACGAGAACACCGCAAGTTACGAGCTGTCCCGGGGCCTTTGGTTCCCATGTGCAGCATAATAACATTATGGCAAGACCTCGAAGACCTGGTCACACCAGCAACTTTCTGCCGCTCGAGTCCGACCGTGACAACACCAACCATCATTAACATTCGTCTACACGAAAGGCGTCACCAAAAATCAACCATTTCCTATCTCTTTGCTACCCGCCATCTAGCTTATGGCCACTATTAACTTGAAGTTCGCTGAGAAAGCCTAGGCTGTCACCGAGTCAGATATCTCTGGCCTCAAGATTGTGCTACTCCTATCAGCTACACCGTGCACCTGAGGCTCCCACGTTGTCAGGCCTGTTAGACGTACCACTGTGTCGGTGTGGCCGGTCTAAGTCGAGGCACTTTGAGTGATTCCCTGCCAGTACGAATAATTGTGAATATTTATGGCCCTTATAAGCTTACCTGGCGACAACCTGACACATCCGGACATAGTGCCGATGTTCCTGATCTATTCATAGATGCCGGCGGCTAGGAAAGTCCCGTGCTTATGTCAGATACTCCTTGCGTGTACATAGTGTACATAGTGTACACCGTCCATTGTCAAATGCTTACATAACTACAGGGAGTGAAGTATAGAAGATGTATTAATCGTGACCTGAGACCTCTAGGATATCCTGCAAGGTGTGAGACTCCTCTTCCGCCAATTGCTCATCGTCTTCCTCCTCCTCCAGGTCTTCAAGCCCATCCTCATCCCCACTCAAAGTCCCTAAGGCCAACGACTCATTGACAGCAGCAGGACACAGTTTATGAGGCACCTGAACTGACGGAGAGGACGCGCTCTCTCCTGGGCTGTTGTGCAGGGCCTGCCCAGGGAGCAGTGTCCTGGAAAACCCAGGTAGCCCCGCAATGTCTTGCAGCCGCTGGCAGTGATAATCCAGGAAGCGGCCGTGCATGTTCCGGAGGATCTGTACTTGATGGGCCAAACCTGGGTGCAGTGTGTGCAATAGGATCTCGCATTCCTCCAGGTAATGTCTCTCGTCTTGCAGATACGTAGCCACATGCCTGATCTCTACATTCAGACACTTGATTTCTTCCCTCGCATGACACATCTTGAAATATAAGTCCATTGCATGGCGACCAGATGGAGTAGCCCACAGGCGTTGCGAAATATCCTTGCGTGCGTCACGGAGAAGCTCGAAATCTGCAAGGAATGCGTACTCAACAACATCTTCCCACTTCAGTGCTGGATGTGGTGAGGATAATGCACGAGCAGTGAGGTTATAGCGATTGAGAGCTGTACGGATGGCTGCAGACTGGACTTGGAGGGCCTTGCTGATGTGTTTTTGCATTTTATAGCCTAGTTACAATGCACATTGAGTACATATTTCAAACAAAAATCGACGATATACCTGTTCCTGCCCTATTCATCTTGGAGAGTTCGAAGATCCTGGCAACAATTAGTCCTTCGAGTGTGTCCAATGCCAGCTGGTACTTCCTGTTGGCGACGAGCCATCCAGCGTTTTGCCACTCGATATCTTCAGGCTGCCAATGTTTGTCCACACCAAGCTTCATCTCCAGGTCATGGATGATTTTGAGGTCCTTCTTGTAATTCTCTAGTGCATGACGGCGTGCTGTCTTGAGTCTTACTGTCATGCTAATGTCAGCCTGTCCAAAGGATGATCCTGGCGTGGTCAGAGACCATGCTGTCCCATCTAATTCCTTCCTAATACTAGAGATAAGTGTCGTCGCAGGGATCAAAGAAAATAGGTACGTACTTGCTTGCGGACAAGTTCACGAGCTTCTGCCAATATTCCATTTGAAGAGTTTCCTGCTCTGGCTCATGTGCATGACTTAGGAGATACGCACGTTCATTCTCGAGCCACACCTCGAGTTCTGATTTGTCCGTGACACCGAGTTCCTACATCAGGCATGGAAGAACAGTCTGGCCATCATACAGAATGTCAAGCGCCTGTTTGTAGTTGTTGTATAGGAACGTAGCTACCAATGAACCCATCAGACAAAACATAATACAAGGCATGCAACTCACTCAAATTATGATATATTTCAAATTCGTCATTGTGCTCGAAATAACCTAAGATTGCTTGACAACGGTGAAACACACTCGCATAACGAGTGGCAGGAGCGAGCGCATTTGACTTTGAGAATGTCTGTTCATAACCCTTGAGGTCTTCTAAGCCGAGACCAGTGACATACGTTGTGAGGTGATCTAGTTGACATAAACGGCGGTGGGCATGACCATGAAAAGCTCCGACAAGTGAGGTGTGATTCAGGGTACGAGCATGAGGACCAAGAGAGCTGCGAGAGAGTGTGGTCTTGAACCTACATCCAATGTTGTATCCCCCGCCAAGGTTGTGTCCGAATGTATCGAGTAGCCTTGAGACAACAGCAAGTGGATATTTTGCACTGGAATGTTGTTAGTCGCTAACCTGAATACATTGCAATAAAGAATTGAACATACCGTTCACCACTCTGCACCATGTCTGCAATGATAAGTGTAAAACTGTGTCGACACACTGCCATAAAGATCCCCGACTCATCAAAAACTCCCCACATCCATTTCGTTTTGTCGTCCTTCATATTTTTCCATTGACCTGCACAAGGGTTATTATCCTATCAAAGCATTAGTCAGTAGAGTTGTAGTAGGTGAAGCTTACCTCGTCATCATCATTGAACAAATCAACTTGAGGGTTTAACGCGTCTGTGAAAGAATCCACATACTCCCTGGTCAAGTAACGATAGTCTACGATGGATTGAGATGTCAGGAGCTCTGATGACTGAGGATTGTTCCGTGATACTAAATCTTCGGCATGCTCCTCATTGGGGACTCGCTTGAGGACTCGCTTGAGTGAATCGTTTCCATCCATTGTGTACAACAGACTAAATTTGAGTTGAGGTTCCACATCCAGGGTATACAAACATGCAGGACATGCATGTTTGAGGTTCCAGTCGATAGCACTTCGTCCTATTGCCTCCTGGACCAGTGAACGAACCTGCGTGCAAATGAGCAAGTAAAGATCCAAAGCGATCAACAATTGGCGTGACAGGTAGCTATGGAAACATTTCTAGATAAATAATGAATCATTGTTGTATAGATAGTGTTAGTGTGATGTTATGACTCACACCTTGCAAATCACAGAGAGTCTTCATAAATGCTTGAATAGAGAAGTTTGGGCAGCGCTGGCATGCGATACAATAAAACTCCAGGCAGTCAATGGTCATGCCGACTGAAGGATTAATCGGGGAACAGGGAATGACACCGTGGTGGATGAGTGCTGAAGCAAGATACATGTTGGATGAGAGAATTGAAAGGTGCACTTTCTCAGCATCTGTAGAACTTTGTAATTGAAGCAAAGTAAATAAACATTCAATACTCACGATGTATATCAACAACTTCGATAAACACTTGGCCAGCATTGACGTCATCGGCATCAACATCTTTCTGCCTCTCAAAAAATCCCATTCCATGTTTCTCATCTCTCTCCAGACTCCATATAAGGTACGCTGTAATTAGTGCTGGCATTTGGTAGTCAAACACCTCAATCCCATGTTGTGTTCGATCGCGTCGTGACCGGTAGTCTTTACGATGAACTGACTGTCTACTATGGCTTCAAGGTATGCAGTGAGCCATCTTTTACCTTCAAATTGGACTTACACATTTTAAAAATCACCAGCAATCCCATGGGTGAGTTCCTGCAGTTCTCCCCCTCCATGACTTATATCGAGTGGCTGGGTTCCATCGAGAACATCCCAGGCACCATAGGAGTCGTCGTCGTCGTCCACCTGGGCATTATCATCCGTGACATTGCCATGGTCATGCAGCGCCTCTAGGGCATGCCGTTGATCAGCAGACATTTCTGAGGTAAGTCGTTGGAATCATATAATCATTATCAAGTAGCAATAGTCACTATGTACCTTGCAGTCGAGCCCTCCACCGTTCTATAGCACTTGCTGCTCGTTCAGCAATTTTTCTTGGCCCGAGTACCTCCTGAGTAGGCCCAGAGCCCCGACGACGAGGATCACGTGAGGACACAACATGTCAAATTTTTGTAGACGCTAGTCCAGTGTGATGGCGTGTGTGTGAACTACGGCTTGTCGTCATTTTCTGATGTTTTGATTCTCAATTATTCTCAATTTGTCAAGTGATTGATGTGCCATTCAACAGATTCACGTGATACAATACTGATCTCGCGTTTCTAGGCCGCCACTTACTTGTCAATTGAGCAAGTGTCATGCATCACAGTTCATCTGAAGATCCTGAGGCAGATGGTAAGATATATATACTGAATATTATGTATACATCTGACTGGTTGACACTGGCAGCACCTCTCACACATTCCCACAAAGTCACGTCACTTGAAGTGCATGAAACAAAGACTACCGTGACCACCGAGACTTCGGCACCTGGTACTGCCAAGACACGGACAAGAACCAGCACCACAAAAATATTAAGGACTTGCACCACAGAAGTCAATCAAACATTCGCTTCTCCCTCCCAAAATACTCCCAGCTCTATTTGATCTCGAGTGGCACCATCTGCATGGTCCCGCACCCAAGCCTCACTGTCATCCACTCGAACAACCATTTTGGCATCCCCACACGCACCACTCTATGGCCCATCAATTCCCCACCAAAGCACATTCAATTCACCTCCAGAAGGGCATAACAGCAAGTTCTATGTCATTACTGTGGGGCAACAAGTTGGACTTTTCTTTCACTGGTATGTAGTTCATCAAAACGCATCTGCTCATATCTAATTTTGCATTATCGTGCTTTCAGGAATGATGTCGCACAGCGGGTGAATCGTGTCAGTGGTAATATCCACTACAAATGTGATATGTTCCAGGAAGCCCTCGTGCAGTACACTCGCGCCTATAAAAATGGTGAGCTTTGTGCAATTCCGATGCCTGGTTCCCCATTCTGGCCCACCAAATCACAGACTATGTCCTCGGATGAAGAAGACATTTGGTCTCATATTGAGGATCTCTCAGAGCAGATGAGCAATGCGCATATTTGATACATTGTCCTGTCCTACATAGAATAACAGTGCTACTTAGTACCATGTATGTCATATTAGGAGTTAGTATTAGTGGAAATATCAATAGGTTACTGGTTATTGATGATAACTAAGATGCATTGTGCGATGTGAAGATGCGTTGTCCGACGTGAAGATGTGTTGTGTGAGGTCTGAATTAGGCATTACTACTAACTGGTGACCATTGCGATGTTTTGGATTTACTCAAGATTTGCTCCAGTCACATTAACAAATGAATGAAATACCTTTTTCTTTCTTTTGGGCCTTGAAGTACATGATTCAGACCTTAGAAATGACTAGTTACTTGTGTGAATGAAGTAACATGAATTGAGTTTGAGTACACCAAATCATAAATCTCCTTTGAATTATAGATCAGTACTACATGTGACTTGCTGAAGTACCAGTACTGTAGTACATCATTGTCCGACTCGCTCGACATTTCTTTCTGCGCTACATTAATTATGGCGTAACTTCTTATCAAAATTACAGATCAAAGCAAGCTGATGGCCAGCCTCCATTTACTATCACTGGCACCAAGGACAGATACAATATAAAATGTCTACTTGAAGCAGTCCCAGGCCACATCGTCATATACTATATCCAAGTGTGACTTCTCTGCAGCTTAACACGAACCTGACACAAGAGCCTCATAAGGAAGTCACCTTTGATGTATTTTGGAGACCAGGAGCTTCCAGGAAATTGGGAGGGGACGTTGTATAGAATGAGGTTTCATTGTTGTCATCAACTTATAAGATCGTCTATGCTAAGCCACATTATGCCAGTACTATTACAAATGAGATGTAGGTGTGCGCCTTATTCCTGAAGTGATATAAAAAAAATGCTCCAGGACAGCTTGAATTAGCTGTATGTTTCATATGGTATACCTTACATATCAATTAGTTAAGGTAGCATTGCGGACAAGTGATAGAACTCACCTGAAAAGCGGACTGGCATCGCCTATGTCCTTGAATTCATATCTTCTATCGTTGCCAATGTTTTCTGCCAGACACTGCGCTTCTTTCTTTCTGTTCAGCTGGTTGTAGTTCCACATAGCGAAGATACTCATTATGATTCTGTTAGAAGATCATATTATTATGTTGCAGTTCGGAAGACTGATGAGACATACGAAAGTGAAATAAATCCCATGTTGGTGCCATGTTCAATGTGGAAGCATGGCGGGTCAACATAGATGAAGGAGGAACAGACACTGAGCCAAGCATGAGCAGGCAAATAGTTTGTATGTATGTTAATACGACGTACCCTCCAAGGTTACTAATACCAATGGCCATTGCTAGTACAACTCCACACTTTAAGTCGCCTCTCACATTCGAGCCTGCCCACGCTAGAACAACTGCGACGGTCAGATAATTCCCCACAGCCGCAAGACAAACTCCAATGTATGACAGACCTGCTTGTACAGAGTTGACTATACACATCAGCTGGGACTTGCTTCAAGTCCGTGGAAGGGTACTCACTGAATAGCCTTGTTTCTAAGAAAGCCCCAGCAAACTATTAAGAGCAGCAGCGATGCTGAATACAAGTGAGGAGAACCAGAATGCAGATACAGTGATAGGCTGAGCGAGGAGAACCAGAATGCTGAAACATCCAGAATATTTGTACATGTTGATCCATATTGATCCATACCAGATTCGGTAGTCTTTGACCACTTGTCAACATCCTTGATTGACACTTCACTTCTATGAATTGGTGGTTTGATATTGGTAAGCATGATCATAATTAATGTGTGGTTTGTCCTTGATTGACGCTGCTAGGTCATTGATGATCTGGGAGATTCATGCTTTCTGGTAGAGGTAAGTGTTATTTACTTATAATTAATGTGTGGTTTGTCCTTGATTGACGCTTCTAGGTCATTGATGATCTGGGAGATTCGTGCTTTCTGGTATAGGTAAGTGTTATTTACTTATAATTAATGCATGGTTTGTCCTTGATTGATGCTGCTACTAGGTCATTGATGATCTGGGAGATTTATGCTTTGATTCGGGTCTGGTATAGGTAAGTGTCTACTTATAATTAATGCATGGTTTGTCCTTGATCGACACTTCTAGGTCATTAATGATCCGGGAGACTCGTGCTTTGATTCAGGTCTGGTATTGGTAAGCGTGATCATAATTGATGTGTGGTTTGTCCTTGATCTCGATTGACACTTCTAGATCATTGATGATCTGGGAGATTCATGCTTTAACTCAAATATCCTGGTCTGGTGTAGGTATAGGTCCCAGGCGCCAGGTACATGTTGATGCAAACTCGAGTTCACCACCTAAAAGCTACGAAACAGTCTCAATACACCGATCGCTGGAGTAGAGCTTCACTCTCCAGCTTATGCGCACATGCTTACATCTGACTCTTTAGGTTGAAACATGCTATGCACTTGATCGCAATGTGCACGCCACTGGTAAGTAGGTCTATTATCCATTTCATATAATCAAAACTCAGTGGTGAAATTGAAGGACATGTGACTAAGGCATCAGATGTCAAAATTTTTAACTTACATCATTTTATCAGTCGCAGGTCGCAATCCAGGTAAGCATGTGTTGTTTTATTGTGTTTGGTTCATGTTAACATATTCTAGTGCCTTTGATAGGTCCAATCAATGTAAGCAACTCGTGTTATTTTACGGTATTTGGTTCACAACACGTCGCGTTGATTTAGTAGATTGTGCCATCACTTTCTGACTAGTAATCATGTTTGACTTCATTGGCAACAAACACTCTGACGCCTCCATTGATGGCTACCACCCTGACTATTTTGCTACCGGCTGTTCTGAACGTGTTGCAGACCATGGATCATTTTCTGGAGCTCAACAAACCGGTAAGTTCTCTGATTTTTCAGTAGTGACAAGAACTTAATCTCCTTTTTTTTAACAGCTTTTACAGACACCCTATATCCTCCAAATCACGGACCTTCGACTTTGGAACACAGCTCCTTGTATCAAAATCTTATTCCCTTCAACTCAGCATGACCAATCACACGTTTGTCTGACCTCTTGAGCTCAGACACGAACATCAACTGGGAGGATCCTGCTCTATATGCCAACCTCCCGTCTTTCTCTGAGCTCATGTATGAAGATACATCTACATGGCAGGTACCCGATGGTTTTCTGCAACTCCCTAGTGCCCATAGTAGAGAGGAGCTACCACCAACTCCTAACACGCAAGTACCGACACCCGACAACTCCACATTCAATTCTGAATCATCTGTGGATTCTCGACCATCTGACATTGGTCAGACCCAGAGGCAAGTGCTTGATTCGAACACCGATAGCATCACAACAGAAGCAGTCGCCACCGGCAACAATTCCTCATGGGCTGCACGGAACCCCAGACAACCTGTACTCACAACTCGCCAGGGTGTCAAACTCACAGAGGCACAGAAGGCATCACAAAGAATTGCTCAGGAGCAATGACGATCAAAGGAAGCTGCGTTGAATGACGCTGTGAAGTCTCTTGCCACAACATATGCAGAGATGATCGAGAAGCTAGCGGACGAGCATAGTGTCACTACAGCACATATTACAGTGACCTATCTCCGTATAATACGAGGGAACGGACGTGCATAATATCCCGTATGATACGGGCCAGCGAACCATGGGCCCATGATAAAAATATCCTCGACTATGACAGATGGGCCGGGAGGCAAATTATTCCCAATGGAGGCGGGTGGGCCCATGCAGGGAATATATAGAGTAGATGAGTGGGCCGATGTAAATGAATATTAGGTAGACGGGTGGGCCGAGGTAGTTGGATATTATGCAGATGGGTGTATTAAGGTAGATGTGTATGAGATAGATGGGTAGGTACTTGTTATCACATTCACGGGTGGGCCCAGACACATATTAAATTAGACGGGTGGGCCGAGGGTGTTGTATGGGATGTTGTATTAGATGGGTGGGCCGAGGGTGGTATACAATATAGATGGGTGGGCCCATGTGTATCATAATTGTAGACATGATGGAGCTGAGGTAGTTGTACATCAACCAAATCAGAGGAGGTAATAAATCAAAGTTACCAAGTTCCTGGAGCATCAGGTGATCTCCTGACATGGCAGTGCGAAGCTTGTGTTGCCCTACGAGACGCCAAGTTCCGGCCACCAGAATTTGAGTCAACTGTACCGAGTTCCGAGTTCCGGGACCTGGAACTCACCACATAAGTTAGTTAATACTTTTTGATGGTGCACAGGTTGTCTTGCAGAATGTGGAATCCGGGGTGCAAAGCTTGTGTTGCCCTACGAGAAGCCAAGTTCCGACCACCAGAATTGGAGTCAACTGTACCGAGTTCCGAGTTCCGAGTTCTGGGACCCGGAACTCAACACATAATTTAGTTAATACTTTCCGTGTTAAATGGCCAACCGAAGTTGAGATGTTTCTGAAGAGAGCAGCAGGTGCTCTCTTGACATGGCCTCTGATGGTGCTTAGGTTGTCTTGCAGAATGTGGAATCTGGGGTGTGAAGCTTGTGTTGCCCTACGAGAAGCCAAGTTCCGACCACCAAAATGTGAGTCAACTGTACTCAGAGGAGGTAATAAATCAAAGTTACTGAGTTCCCGGAGCAGCAGGTGATCTCCTGACATGGCTGTGCGAAGCTTGTGTTGTCCTATGAGACTCCAAATTCCGACCACCCAAATATGGGTCAACCGTACCGACTTCCGAGTTCCGGGACCCAGGAGTCGACAAATGAATATCTGATGACCAGCGAGTCAACCTTACTCAGAGGAGGTAATAAATCAAAGTTACCGAGTTCCTGGAGCAGCAGGTGATCTCCTGACATGGCTGTGCGAAGCTTGTGTTGCCCTATGAGACTCCAAATTCCGACCACCCAAATATGGGTCAACCGTACCGACTTCCGAGTTCCGGGACCCGGGAGTCGACAAATGAATATCTGATGACCAGCGAGTCAACCTTACTCAGAGGAGGTAATAAATCAAAGTTACCGAGTTCCCGGAGCAGCAGGTGATCTCCTGATATGGCAGTGCGAAGCTTGTGTTGCCCTACGAGACGCCAAATTCCGACCACCCAAATATGGGTCAACCGTACCGACTTCCGAGTTCCGGGACCCAGGAGTCGACAAATGAATATCTGATGACCAGCACACTTCCAATCAGGTAGTATTTCATTGAGCAATGGATAATAATACATCTTTGACAGCCAAAATTATCCATGGCTCCCTTATCTGATCCTCTCTATCTCCACCCCCTATAACACCAAAGTCCAGACATCCAGCATTCAGCGTCTGATTTCCCAAGATTAACATCCAGCATGAACGGTTCTTCCCCTTCCCCTCCTGATAGCATAAACATCTGGCGCACTTGGGCCCTGACTGTGACTTATGAAGCAGGGGAATATACTGAACAGAAATTCAAGGCAGAGAAGACTGGAGGAGGCCCAGTCATACCTTCCCCCAACCTAGACACTGATCTGGTGATGGCGTGCGATCGCTTGGCTGATGTACTCATAAAGGCATCTAAAAATCCCAGTGGGTCTTCCTGCAGATTCGGAAAATTCTATTTATCATTCAAATTCCTGCATGACAGTTCAGATGCAGATGGATATTGCAAGATATAGCAAATTGATCTCCCCGAAGGACACCGGGCATAATGAACATAGAGAGGCGAGGTTGATTGAGAGGTGTCCTCCTGGCCATGAAGGCAAAAGGTTGGTCGATGAACCTGCAATAATTCTCGATGCATCCGGTGCCATTATTGCATGGTATCTCCCAGACGCCCTGACAGATACCACCCAGGTGTGTAATATACATTGTTACTGGATGGATATCGAATATTAATGGAACCTACAGAAGGAAATCAAGGAGGCCACCGATTTGCTCGCTCCAAGCCTCGAAAAAAGTGTAAGGGCTGATGGCAATTGGCGAACTAATCAAAGGTTGTTCAACCGGGGCTCCGAAGATGTTGGAGCAACTCCCGGATGCATCAATCTATCTCCGGCATGGTTTCAACAGGGACACGAGGTAGGATCTGATGAGATGGTGATTCCGGCAGTCATACTCACCAATCCCAAAGAATGTGTCCGATCCGGAGGTATCTGCATCATTGAAGGGACCTTCCTGTGAGAATATCCTCAAAGCCATTGCAAGGCCAGCAGCCATCGCATCCGCGGCACTCAGAGTCATGCATCCTGAGCAGTACTGGGCAGGGTTGAGAACCTTGTCAAACCTTGGAAATATAGCAGTAAGCAAGGATCTGCCACAGATGCCGGAGGCCCTGCAGTACTGGGCATCTGTGTTTAACACCCTCTCCATCATTTCCAATCGGGAAACCCCCCATCATCGAGACCACATGTCCATTGCTGAATGCTTCGACATTCTCACCACCATGGGGAACTATTCCAATGCTCGGATGACAATGCCAAACCTTCAGCTGGAGTTCAAGTACAATTCCGGCTGTATGATTGCGTTTTCCGGAAAGATTGTGAGACATGGAGTTTATGATGTGGAAGGGGATCGGATTGCTTGGGCATGGTATATGAGGGATGCTGTTCATATTTATGCTGGTGTTCCATCATGTGGATGGGCTAGTGTGGATGGTCCATACAGCGTGTGAAAGATCAAACAAAGAGCAAGCATTGTGACCTATATACATTCCAACAAATGAATACCATGTACCAATTGTGATCCGGACCTCAATACTCAATTTTGAGCATTTCCAAAGTGATATGTGGGCCTGAATAATTTGGATGCAAGCCTCGGTATTCGATAATTGGAACTCAGGACTTGACATATGGGAGTTCCGAGTGCCGGGGTACTTAGTCCCGACACCCGGACCTCAGCACGTGATATTTGAGACTGGGGGAAGATGTATAAATACACTCGAATTAACATTTGTTATTGCCATACACATTTAACAAAACCCTGAACCACGACATTGTGGACTCCGGACTCGACACTGTTCTGAATACCGAGTTCCGGACGCCCAGGTCCCGAGTCCCGAATTTCGGAGGTCGGGGTTCGGAGACCCGGAGCTCGGCAACTGTGTTGGGTGTCAGGGTATCCAGACTATTGGAGATAGCATGTGTCAGTATTTTGCGTTTCATGGTTTATGTTGGGTGAATATGGAATCGTGGATCAGGGACTCGGTATTCAGAACAGTGTCAAGTCCCAGGTCACGAGCTCCGAGTCCCGAGTGCTGAACCCCGGGTCCCGAGTCCTGAATTTCGGAGGTCGGGGCTCGGCGACCCGGAGCTCGGCAACTATGTTGGGTGTCAGAGTACTCGGAGCATTGGAGATAGCATTTGTCAGTATTTTAAGTTTCATGGTTTATGTTTCGTGATTATGGAATCAGGTGTCAGGGACTCGGTATTGAGAACAGTGTTGAGTCCCAGGTCATGAGCTCCGAGTCCCGAGTCCCGAAACCCACACCCAGCAGTTGCCGAGCTCCGGGTCGCCGAACCCCGACCTCCGAAATTTGTGACTCGGGACCTGGGGTTCGGCACTCGGGACTCGGAGCTCGTGACATGGGACTCAACACTGTTCTCAATACCGAGTCCCTGACACCTGATTCCATAATCACGAAACATAAACCATGAAACTTAAAATACTGACAAATGCTATCTCCAATGCTCCGAGTACCCTGACACCCAACACAGTTGCCGAGCTCCGGGTCGCCGAACCCCGACCTCCGAAATTCAGGACTCGGGACCCAGGGTTCGGCACTCGGGACTCGGAGCTCGTGACCTGGGACTTGACACTGTTCTGAATACCGAGTCCCTGATCCACGATTCCATATTCACCCAACATAAACCATGAAACGCAAAATACTGACACATGCTATCTCCAATAGTCTGGATACCCTGACACCCAACACAGTTGCCGAGCTCCGGGTCTCCGAACCCCGACCTCCGAAATTCGGGACTCGGGACCTGGGCGTCCGGAACTCGGATGTGAGATTTTTGAATGCATAGAATATGTTACATCTTGTATACAATGAAGACTGAATGGGACTACACTCCTTTGCCTTTCCTCAATTTCTCTAACATGTCAGTGTACATCTTCACCTCTGCCATCTTGTCTTTGATGCCCTGATCTTGCTCCTCCAGCAATGCTTCCATGCGTTCTTTGATGAACCTCAGTCCCATGAGTGGTGGAGTCGAAGTGTTTTTCAACTTCTCTGGAAGTACCAAAGCATCATCCTCAACATTAAGCTGAAACAGATAAGTCATCAATCAAGGTAGTTCAGCTAACATCTTACCGCCCAATACTGGTAGTGAGAGACGCAGGAAGCCATTATTTCATCCCACTGCCATGGTTGATCAGGGATCCAGTTGTTTCCCCTCCACCATGGACATGTATATGCGAACACAATCCGGGACGGATGTCCTGCAATTGGCTCATCATGAAATGAAAGGAGGTGGAATGAAAAGACGTCATCCGGAACCTGTGTTCCAGGTGAGCATGGGATACAACTTAAGGATATAAGCGACAGGGACCGGAAGAACCGACACGATATTCTGTGAAGCGGAGTACTGCAGGAGTGGTGTGACAAATGTCTGCTCAAATTCTTAGCATTGACCAACAAAGTCATCAGGGCAGTGGTAACATACACTCATCTCCCATTGCAGCCCGGCTTTAAAATACTTGATCCGGTCAGCAGATAGACCATTGTTGGCAGCTTCCGTCCGATATTGAGAGATGCATGCACGGACGCGCGATCCAGCCATTGCCAATGTGCAGGAAATTGTTGCAAGGCTCAGCTTCAGAGGTCGGTAATGGCTTCCTGGCATTCAGAGTGCCAGAAGTGGATGCATGAGATGCAGACATGGCTAATACAGGACTATGGCGCTGGCAATACAAGTGAAAGATGGTCAAGATGTGAAGATAAGAATCACTGATGGATGGATATGAAATTCAAACTCCGACATGGGCTGACCCGGACAATTCCCGGGCCTCAACTATGTATGTGGAAAAAGGGATTTCATGAGAAAACAATGTTCATTCATCTCCAGCCTCTATCAACACATTTTGTAGGTCTTGAAAAGCTGCCTGCGCATCCTGTGCCAGCAATGAATACATTTGGGATTGCCTTCCGGCGTAGCATCCGTGACCCGGAAGTCGTTTCTCCAATGATTCCTGCATGTGCTCGCCCCATTGGGTTGTTTTCCACAAAAAGAACTTACATGTCCAATCCATCTCCAATTTGACCAATAGCATTTCCTCCCTCCATCGATCCCGTAGTGCCTTTGCCCTCAGCCAATGGACTCGGTAAACTTGGCATGGGTCCAGTCAGGTAACCGCGGGATATGACATGCAAGCAGGAACTCACATTCCTCATTCCACGATTGATCAGGACCCCCGAGGTCGACTTCAACAGACCAAAACCAAGCCAAAGATTCATTTCGTTGACCTCGGGCATTTGGGTCTCCCACTGCAGTGCTGATTTTGAGTTGCTCGCGAAGCAGGGGTTTGTATTTCTGAAGCTGGTCTTGCCCTGGCTCAAGTTTCATCATTTGCTTCCTTGTCTTTGTATATATGCTGGCATGGAGGGAGACTGCCTGCTGCACCGACGTCACCTGGGACCAAGCTCGAGTTTTCAGGGCCTGGGATTTGGCCTGCCTAACACTTGTTCGGAACAGGATGGCCTTGTTGCAAAGGTAAATGCGGAGATTGTGAAGGGCATCATTGGCCTGCCCTTCATGAAGCGACATCTCCAGGGGAATCAGATCCTCTGCCATGCATCGTCTGCATCTATCAACCCCCAGGTTTGATGGCAATGGGATTACAGTGAGCTCGGGAGAGTTTGTCCATGTATGAGATGTCTCTGT